CACTTGCCCCATATTTGCGTAACTATGGCACCACTAGAAAGAAGTGGGACTGACAAAGATCAGTGGCGAACCAGCTACAAAGGTACCGTGACTTCAGGATAGTTGAAGGTCCTTTAGCAGGGCCTATGTGGCCTCCCTGACCTGGTTCCTAGCCTTCTCTAGGTCTTGTTACTTCCACACTCCCCCACACTGTTTCACACCTCAAGGCCTTTGTGTTCACTGGGCTATTCCAAAGGCCCTTCTCCTAGTTATCTAACCAACACTCTCACCCCGCTTCAAGATCCAGCTCAAACACCCCTTCCTCCAAAGCCTTCCTTTCCTGGAGCTCTGCTTTCTCTACCAGCTTATTCCGTGTTTTAGAAGGGTACCCCATTGCCCTAAAGTTTTCTTTACAGGCCTGTTGCCCCACCCGACCTAACCCCTAGAGGGCAGGAACCTAGGTTCATTCACGTCTGCATCCCCATTGCCTCCCAGAGTACCCACACTTTGAGTGGAGATTGGAGGAATGGGCATGCAATTTGAAAAATAAGGAACCTATTTATTGCCTTTCACACGCCAGAAACCCGATGGCAAAGAACTGGTAATTTTTATTTTGAGAAAATAAGTTGAAACTTGTTTAAAGAGAAGGGGGAAAACCCTCTGCATACTTTCATTTTTAAAATGACCACATACTTGCGAAATATTTGTTGCAAAGTGTAAGTTTTTATACTTCCTCCGCTTTGGACATAGCTGAGTCTTCTAACAGTTCTAGAACTAGAGAATGGCTAAACTGACGCGTTGCACTAGCCTTTCTCCCGAACCTCAAAGATCCCCAGGGCTCTTACAGTCGGGGATGTTTGCTGCCTCAAAGGGAAGAGAGAACCAGCTCTTGCGAATGAAACAGCACTTCAAAAGAGGCGGCGGCCTACGTAGGGAGAGGGAGCAGCCGCCGTCCAAAGACCCTCTGAATAATCCGCTCTGAAATTGACTGAGGCTGGTAGAGGTGTAAACTGAAACTCCAGAGGCTAACCCTAAGCGGTTACATTTTCTCCACCAGAAGGTTTCCCAGCCCTGTCACTCACTCCTGCTGGCTTTCTTTCCTCGCGCGCGCCCGCGCGCGCGCGCGCGCGCGCACACACACACACACACAATTTTGGTGGACTGCTGCACTTGACATTGAGCCTGTCTCCTACCTGAAGTGGGGCCCTCAGAAAGCAGCGAGGTTGGCGTTTCATTCATAATATATGACCTCAAGAGAGGAGGGAGGCAGGGACAAGAGCCTTTCATCTCTGCTACTTAAAATCCCAGCAGCGCAGCAGAAAGGGAAAATGAGCTGGGAGTGAGCTGCATCGGGGCATGAAGTATGGCACGATAACGGTACGAGCGAGCGCGTCAGCGGCCCGCCCGCCGGCTATTTATACCATGTAGATTATGCAATCTGGCTCCAGCCATTCATACCCGACTGGGACGCCCCGCGCCGGGGGAGGGGGGCGGGGGGCACCATTCCCGGGCGCCGGGTCAGTTTCTAAGTTTGCATCATCCCCTTTATTACGAGAGCTTGGGTTTCCATTCCTGCCGGCTGGTCTTGGGAGAGACAGCTGGGCTACAAACTCACTTGGCACAGACTGGCACACACGACCGCTTACTTAAACATAATAAACGCACCGGGACGCCGAGGCGCTGCCGAGCAGCGCGCAGGGCTGGGCTCCGGGCAGACCGGAAGGAACTGATAAACCGAGCGCTAATGATACCCGCTCCCTCCCCCGTCGGAAGTGTCCTCCGAGCGCCGGTCATTGAGAAATACCGAAGGGGCAGAATGGGGGTGAGGTGAGGACAGGCCTGGGCCGCAGCTGCGCGCGCCTTGCGGAGCGGGGAGCGAGGGCGTCGCGGCAAGGGGGATTCGGCCGGCCGGGCCGCACGAACCTTAGGGCACAGCTAGGTCCTCCCCAAATCACCCCAGCTGGGCGCGCGCCCCTCTGGGGGCTGCGGGGGGAGAGTGATTTATCAGATCCCACTTCCAAACCCACCCCGGGGAGATATACACTCGCGGCCCCTACCGGACCCAAATAAGGTGGGAGGACGCAGAGAAGGGGCGAAGGACACGAAAGAGAGCCGGTTGCCGAGAAAGATAAAATGTCCTCTTCTCCCGGCGCCCGTGCGGGGCGGTAGGGAGCGGGGGCCGCGGCCGGCTTCCGAGTGAAACCAGACCTGCGGGTCTACTGAGCATGCCCGTTCCGTGGCCGCCGAGGGTCGCTCCGGTTCCGCGCTCCGGGCTTTCCAGGCGGCTGGCAGAAGGACCCGGGTGGGGGGTGCTTCCCCGCCCCCGACTCTGGCTTGAGGGGTGGGTAGGCGGGGGTCCTGCTGGGGGCTCCGCTGGGTGTGCGTGAAGTTGTGAGAAGATCGACTCTACTTTTGAGGCTGTACGATCTCACTCTTGAGTCGACACCCTTGAATCGATCGTGTTCAGAGCTGCCCGCCCCCTGTTTTGCTGGTTGTGGGGGAGAGACACGGATGTGGGTATTTAGCTCTTTCAGTAATGTCATTAAGTTAAAGCCCTAAATCCGTGACACCCGCTATTCTGGTAACAATTTAGTAGACTTTGATAATGTCCTGATATTCAGATCAATAAACATATCTGAGTTATTCGCCCAATATCGCCATTTATTCTATGGAGCTGCAGGAGTCGCAGTAATTGACGGGGAAGACCAAGAGGTGACCTACTAAGAACATTTCCATTAAAAAGCCCCTTTTGGGTGATGAACGAGGCAGAAGAGAACTGGAAGGATTTCTTTTAAAGAACATGATGGAACGTAAGTGAAGGAGGGTGGCATTTAGTAATACAGTTGGCTAAAGAGAAGAAAGGGTTGCCATTCATCTAGTTGCAGCGCGCTGCTTAACACAGTACGTTCACCGTAGCCATTTATTCTTCCCAGCAGCCCTATGTTGTGGGCAGTATCCTGACACTACAGGTGTTTTACCCAAGGCTCAGAGAACCTAAGGACCTGCTGGAATTTGGCATCAGGACATCCAAGTGGGGAGCTGGTGACTCCTGGACTTTAGAATGTTTTCCTTTGCTCCTTTGGCTGCCTGGTCTGCCGTCTGGGCCAGTCATTCACTGCTATTAGCTGGGAGCTGGATGAATGAGTGGTGATGACACCGATTCATTTGTCTGCCTGCAGAAACTAATAATCAACTTACCTGCCACCTTGCCATTTGGGCACTCTGAAACTGGAGGGTGGAGCCATAGAGATGCCCACTGGGTGGAAAATTTTGCCATGGACAAATATCTGTTCCTGGAAGTTCAGGAATGACTGAGTAGGATCTCTTTCAGCACCTCCAGGAGAAAAGCAATGACCAAAGGTGAGAACTGGATAGATGCCTTTGCCTTATGGGGATTTAGAGAACAATAAGATGCTCCTTTGTTCACTGCTTTCTCAGAGACTCTCAATGGCCTCAAAACCTGAGAAAGACAAGATTGTCCTTGTTATCCCTGTTTTATAAAGAAACTGAAGGACTGCTAAAAGTCTCACTCAAGGTCTCAGGCCTGCTAGGAAAAAAACAAACCAGGTGTTTCTCCCTTGTCTAGTTCCCTTTTCAGCACTACACACCAGCACTCAGCATCAAAGGTGGGTGAACCCCAATCCATGTCCACAAAGATCATGAAGCCTAGGATAAACCACTAGTTTCTCCTTGACTCAAGGTGATACTGTTACTATCTTTGAAACACTCCTGGCTCTCCAAATGCATACATATACACTTTTGTGTATACTACATTTGAGGCATATATTTAATTTCTTAATTTGTTCAGTGGCTGCTATTTGGTTAAAATCTCAGTATGTTCTCTTGGCACATTCAGTAGGGTGGGAAAATGTACTGTGCTTGGAGAGCAGGAAGGGGCAGGGACTCTACCTCTTGCTCTTTCAAGACCCCTGGAAGGAAGTACTGAATAGCTATGTAATTTGTGGGACCCACTGCAAGTAAAAGTGTGAAGCCCCTTGTTCCAACACTATAAAAAATCTCAAATCTGCAACAGCCGAACATCAAACCAAGTAAAGATCCCTGTGCAACTGCACAGGTTGCATGCCAAGGAAGCCAGCCTTATTCATTGCCCAGACAGCGCTGCTTTGGAGAGTATGGGCCCACTCAGCCCCGCGGTCCAGGGGCCAAAACAAGAAAAATCATTTAAAGACAAACTGGGGGGGGGGGGGGAATCCAGAAGCTCTCTATCTCCTCATCTGTGCAAAAGCCCACTGGGCTGGTAACCTCTGGCCCAGTAACTATGGCCTTCAAGGGCCTGGGACAAGGGCCATCCTCCAATATGAGAGACGTTTACTAAATAATTTTTGAAATGTATTTCGGTTTACCTTTTAATCCGAAGAAGTCCATCATTTCTACTGAAATGCAAACGTTTCTGGGCTGTGTTGGATTTGCTTTTTTTTTTAATGTACAATAATGATTCCTCAAAAATGCCCCCTCCACAAGGCAAAACAGATCACAAGATTCATAAGCAATTGAAAAGCCTCTGCCATTCAGAACCTTGGCAAAACACCTGTACCGTCCCCACCCTCCCGCTGCACTGTGGAGGGTAGTTGGGTCCGCTGAGCCGAAACCACCCCTCTGGGCCTCCCCTCAACTCAGCGTCTCCGCCCCCGCCCCCCACCATTTTTAATCCAGGGGTTTGGATGGAGGGAGGGAACCAAACTGGAGCCAGATGTGTGCGAGTCCCCGGCTCCTGCCTCCTCCCTCCTCTCCGGCTTCTTAAAACCCGGAGCGTTGGCGAAAATGGATCAGGAGCCAGACAGACGCCGCACAAACAACTCCGCTCCGAGGCTCCTCCGGGAGTGGAAGCCAGGAGGGAGGAGGAAAGGAAGCCGAGCATGCTCAGTAGGCGGGACAAAGTTTTTTTTTTCTCCTTTTTTTTTTTTTTTTTTTTCTTTCGGTCGCAAGTAGGAAGCTTTTTGCACTCCACCACCTCTGGCCGCTGGGAAGACGTCATCGCTTCCGCCCTACTTCCTCCTCCTGTTGGCGGCGGTGAGAATCCAATATGGAGTAAATCGGTGGAGTCGAGAGATGGGGCTCGGACGGGGCGCCCTGCACCGCCTCCCAGGCGCACCTCCCCCGGCCGCCGACCGCTCCCCGGAACCGTGATTGGCCAGGCCCCCGGGGGCGACCCCGGACCGAGCCCCCACCCGCGGCTGGCCCTCCTCTCCTCCTCCTCTGAGCAGTCCCCGCCGCTCCACGGCGCGCTTGTTTTTCTCCTCGTCTCCCCCACCGCCGTCCCCTGCCCAAATCTCTCCCCCTCTGCTCGCTGCCGAGCCCCCGGAGCCCCTCCTGCCGAGCCCCGGGCGCTGCGGGGCTCACTCCTCCCGCAGCTTGCCTTTGCACCCCTTCCCCAAACCTCACCCCGCGCTCCTATCGCCTGCTTCCCCTTCTGTCTTCTGCGGCGCCCCTTCATCTCTCGCCGCTCCCCCTCCCCAACCAAATCAGGCGATCTCCGGAGATGTGAAGAAGGAGGGTGAGCGGACAGGAAGATGAAGGGAGCAAAGCTGCCCGCCGCGGGACAGGCGTCTAGGTGAACAGGAAAATGACCGAAGAAACACACCCGGACGAGTAAGTTTGGCCGCGGGGTGGGACAAGGGTGCCCCGCGGGGGCAGCGTGGGGGACGGGGCTGAGGACGCAGGCGGGGACGCTGCTTGGGTGAACTTGGCGTGGGGTGCAGCTACTAGCCGGCCTGTGGGCTTTGGGATGCGAGATCCCCCTCCCATTGTTGTTGAAGTGAGGAGGGGGCAAAGACTGCTGAGGGCCGGCGGGGGCGCGCCTTGAGTCGGCGGGCTGGTGGCCGCGGCGGGGGCCAAGGGCGCGCGGGTGACCTCGGGGCGGTCCCCGCTCCTTCTCCGGGGACTCACAAACACTCTCTCCCCCCCGAAATCTTCCGCGGCCGGAGCGAAAGACCTGACACCCCCGCTCCGGCTTCCTGGGGTCGGTGGGTTTTCACATAGTGACTTTGTGACTTCTGCCCCGCCGCTCGCCCCCCGGTCCCTTAGGGAGCCCACTGGGGCCCAGGCTCCGCCATTTCGTTTTCTTGAATCGCTCTCATTTGCATACCACATTTTCATTCATAAAAAACACGGCGGAGCGAGGGGAGGACTGGGCGCGGGCTGCGCGGGGGTCTGCGTGAGCCGGGATCCCCAGGCAGGTCGCCGTGCGGGAGCCGCCGGAGGGGTCCCGCGGCGCGTGTGAGCGTGTGTGCACGCGCTTTTGGGCTCCGGATAGGCGCCCCGCGGGATCGGGGGCGGATCCGAGTCGTGTGCTGCGGGGGCGGGCGGGAGCGTGCGGGGCAATGTGCTGCGGGCGTGTGTGTGTGTCTGTGTCTGTGTGTCTGTGTGTGTGCGGGCCAGTGTGTGTGTGTGCGCGCGCGCGTGTGTGTGCGGGGCAGTGTGCTGCGGGCCAGTGTGTGTGTGTGTATCCGTGTGTATGTGTGTGTGTGCGGGCCAGTGTGCGAGTTTGTGTGTGCGCGTGCACGGGCATGCGTGCCCGGCCCGCGGGCCCGAGGGAAACAATGCTCGGGGCGCTTGGCTGGAGGGGCTCCGGGGCTGACCCGCCGCCCTCCGCGGGATCGGTGCTGTTTTCCAGCCCGGGGCCAAGGTGAGGCTCACTCCAGCCGCGCGGTCTCGGAATCGGGTTTGGCTTTCTCTCACCCCCGCCCGAGGCGTTTCCAATCGGGGGAGAAGCGGAGGCAGGGCTCCTGGGCCCGGCGCCTTAAGTCGTCGGCTTCGGGTCCGAGAGGTCACCGCACGGCGGCCGACGCCGCTGCTCAGTGGCTGTGCCCGCCACCAGCCACTTTTTTTTTTTTTTTTTTGTGAATAAGACGCTCTCCTTTATTGTCACATGATATCCCTCCCCTCCTCCTCTGCACATTCATAAATCCGGAGCCTGCTTCGGCTCCTTTCATTCAGAGCTGCCATTAGCTAAGGTAGCAGTGGCGCTGGCTTGGGCGCAAAGAGCGGGTTGATAGCCGCTGGGACGCACTCTGGGGGGAGGCCCAGACAGCATGTCTGAGGGGTCGTGGGGGCTGCGAGTATCTGCTCGCGAGGCCCGGGGTCTCTTGCCCCTGCGAGCATTGACAAGTCAGTGCAGAGAGGGGAAGTGACTCAGGGCTGGGTGACGGGGAGGGCTTTTCTTGCAGCAGGTGACAGAATGCTGTACTCTTAAGAATCTACTTCACTTTTTTTTTTTTTTTTTTTTTTTTATGCCCCTTTATCCTTTGGCGTCTGCTGTTACCAGGCTGGGCGGGAGAGGGTGTTGAGAGGGTCGGTGTTTGGGAAAGGGAATTTCCTTCCTGTGGTCCCCAGGGATCTTTGACTGCAGTAACCCCTGGTCTGCCAGACACCCGCAGCTGGAGAGCCTGCCGCCTGGTGTGCATGTCGCTGTGGTCCCACCACCTGTGCTGGTCTTTTTAAACATTTTGCTTTGCCTTCATAGAGTGTATCTTGAAATGATAAAATGAAAAAAAAAAGTTGCTCTTTTGGGGAAGAAATATGCTTCTGGGCCTTGTCCCCATTCGGACTTGACTAATAGACAAGTGGTTTTATAGGTCCTCCCTTGTCCTTGCACACACAAATAGCAGAGTAGCAGGGAGGGACGGTTGCCTTGCTCTGGACTTGGGGATTCTTGTTGGAGATTGGTTCCACTCACCTGCGTTGGGTTCCTTGGCTCCATCCCTTGGGACTACTGGCCTGGCCTCTCCCTTTTCACCCGTATCATGTCAGCTTTGCATCCTACTCCATCTGATAGCCAAAGCAAAAGGATTTGGGGTGGAATCACCAGCAAGAAATGACTATGTCTACTTCATGCTTTCAGAGCAGTTCAGCATGGAACTGGCCATCCTGACTGCTGTCAGAAGCCCAGTTGAGACAATGGGTATTTGAGGACAGGTTCTGGTTTCAGTTAGAGAATCAGAAAGCTGTGGCGCCTTAGCCCAGTGCAGAAATGGCCTTCCCGGGATGACTTTTAATGTAATGACCTTGGCATGAGACATGAAATGTAAGCCCGTAAGAACATGGACTGCATGGGCTGTAAACTGCCATTTGTGGACACTGTCCATTATATTATTCAAGTTCTTATGTAATGACCCATCTGAAAAATTCCTTTTAAATGTTAATGTTTGGAAGAAGGTTTCTCTCTGGGTTGCAGAGCTTGCTGTGATTGCCTTTTTGTTGATGGGGTTTTTTGCAACCACTGTCTGGAAGCTCAGAGCTAAAATTATTGCTTGATTACAGTAGTCATGGTTAGCCTAGCTTTTGCTAGATTTATTTACCCCTCCTCTAGTATGAATTTTGATCTTTTATTTTCTTTTCTAATGGCTTTATGTTTGAAGTTCTACAGATACCTTTTGGAAGTAGGCAAGGTGTGTTAAAAATAAAGCAATTTGGTGACCTCAAATTGGGGACCTACGGGGGAAGTAGTTATACCTTAGGTAGAATAGATTTTCTTGATAGTCCATATTTAAGGCTTTTATTAAACGGTACAGATATATAATTAATATGCTTAGCATCAGAGTACAGTAAGTCAGAATCTTGCAACGGGCAAAATTGTGCCTAATTTTAAAAAATAACAAATGTTTGTCTTCTCATGCTCTTTTCCATGTCAATTTAAAACTTCTCTAATAAGTATATGATAGTTCAGGAAAGCTTGTCTGCTCTTTTTGCTGACTGTCCTAAAAAATAGCTTCTATACAGAAAATACTCTGACCCTTCTCCTCTGATCCCACTCCAGCTACAAATGCATGTTAAGATTTACAATTCTACAGATTTTTTTTATAATTTAAAAGTAAAAAGCATCAACAAACTATTGAAAATTATCTTTTGTACGTAAGAGTGGAAAAAAAATTTTTGATTGTATGCATTTTGTCTGTATCTTTAAAGCATTTGATTATGGTCATGAATGATTTGGAAATTTGTAGACAAAATGAAGAAATCCTTCTCAAGTGAGCTTAACACAGGAGAAATGGGCCTACCATTTAGCTATTCTGTTCCTCTCATATACTCTTCTCAGCAACACATATCTTGCTGAGAATGGACTTGTAAGCTTTGTCCTTAGTCATGTTTTTCCTAATGTTGAAAGGTCTTCCATTAAAAAAAAAAAACTTAAATATTTTTACTGAGCCATTTCAAAGAGATTAGATATCAGAATTTCTTATATCTAAATACTTGAGCTTACTTCCCAAAAGATGGGAATACTCTTCCATGAAACCATAATACCATCATCACACTTTATAAAATTAAGAGTCATTCCCGGTTGTCTTTGACATTCAGCCCAATTGACTGAAAAATGTCTTTTACAACTGTCATTTCAGCCAGGTGCCAATTAAAGATCCTGAGTTAAATGCATTTAACTTAAACTTAAGGCTCAAGGCTCAGCCATTTGCTCACTTTCTGATCTAAGGCAAGTTACTTACCTTTTACCTTGGTTTAATCTGAATGAATAAAATGGGAGTGAATTTTAGCAATTTCATGGAGTTGCTGTGAAAATTATATGAGATATCCTATGTAAAGCTTACCGTTGAGCACCAAGCATAAATCAGGTGTCTGGTGTTGTCTCTTAGCAGGGCACTGGGATAGGTTTCTTAGAGGCTCAGCTTGTTAATTTTCAAATAATCCTATGAAGGAGTTATCCCATTTATTTTATTATTTTTTAAAAGATTTTATTCATTCATTCATTCATTCATTCATTCATTATTTAGAGTGCACACGCAAGAGTGGTGGGGAGAGACTCTCAAGCAGACTCCCCGCTGAGTGCAGAGCCGGATGCGGTGTGGGCTGATCCCACCACCCTGAAATCATGACTTGAGTTGAAATCAAGAGTCAGAGGCTTAACTGACTGAGCCACCCAGGTGCCCTGGAGTTACCCTATTTAACTGATGAGGAAGCTTAAGTAAAGTTGCTTGCCTAATACAGCAAACTTTTTTTTTTATAGCATTTTAATTAGTCTTCTCAGTAGTCCTCTGAGGTAGATAGGGTATTATTACTTCCATTTATAGAGGGGGAAACTGAGGTCCAAAGAAGATGAGTAACTTGTCCAAGGTCATATCATTAGTAAATGAAGGAGCTAGGCTTTGACTCCAGCCGCCTGGCCCAGGAAGGACCGTTTTTAACCACTGTGAGGTACCTTCTCAGGAGAGGACAGACTGGCCAGCCTTTGTCATTCTGACTTCCGAGCTCACACTGTTTCTGTCAGTCATGCTGTCCTTGATTCTTCTGAATTGGCGACAGTCTGTCATTGCCATAATTTTTTCCGCTTCCTTTATCTTCCCTGAAATTGCTGAGGCACATACTGAATTAAAGTGAATTTAAATAAACTTGGGCTTGAGAATTCTGTGATACACCTTAAGATAATAAGAGTGTGAATTCAAGAGTTGGTTATTGCTGGATGGTAGCTGTACGTTCGTTGAAATAACGGTTGTAGAAATTAGACCTGGTACAACAAATATTGATCCAGTTTCTTTGCATTAGCCTTTAAAAAGAGATGTTTCTACTCCATAGGAATAGAATCCCTAAATGTTAAAAACATGGAGTTGGCTATGCAGAATTGGAATCTTGGTCCATTCCTC